TACACAAAAACTATGTCAAATCACGTCTTAATTTTCACGCGCTGAAAGACTCCAATCATTCGATTTCATGGGTGCGAGCACGATTTCCAGACATTGCAATCGAACTGCGAACCACTATTTGAGTGCTACACGTGCCACTTTCGTTTTCATTAACGATTCCTTCCCGTCAAATGCAACCACCGCAAAGAGCTTAATTGATTCCGTAACACACCACAACTTAGTTAGCACGCGACCCCTACTGAAGCGTAAGCAATGTGGATAAGGCCTAGCGTGCCCTTCAATGTGTTGTTATGGGAAGTTTGGCCAAGACATAAAGATACGGCCACTGGAAAGTCATCACTAATCCCTACGGAAGTGACCATTTTTCCGTAGTTTTGAGCACACCTACATCAACTGAATTCCTGCCCCCCAGTTTCGAAATTGGCTATTAAGCAAAGCCAACTGGTAACGGTGTTATACCATCACTCATTTGAATTGGCGCGACATGTGCACTTTAAGTATTGATGCAGCTGTCAACTACTTCACAGCGTTTCTGATTGATGCAGCAACAAAATGCGTCCCACAAACGAATGGACCACCTGGAAAACGACGTGTGCCATGGTGGAACTCAGAGTGCCGAAATGCGCGCAAGCAGCAAAACAAAGTATGGAGGTTGCTTCGGAACTCACCGACAGCCGAAAATCTTGACATCTTTAAGAAAATGAAGTCTCAGGCCAGGAGAATGCGTCGGCAGGTCAGAAGAAAAAGTTGGCACAAGTTTTTATCATAGATAAATTTATATACCAAAGAGGCTAAAGTCTGGAACATGGTTGGTAGAGTAGCAGGAAGACAGGTGCATTCACTCCCACTCGTAAACCCACAGGGTGACAGCCTGGAAGATCAGGCGAACTTCCTCGGAGCACACTACAAGCAGGTGTCTAGCTCGTCACACTATACTGAAGCTTTTCAAAGATATAAGGCAAAAATAGAAAAGCAGAAACTAGAATACAAGTGTACAAAATACAAGGCATACAATCGCTCTTTCAACTTAGCAGAGTTACAAACATCACTAAACTCCTGCAGTAATTCTGCCCCTGGCCACGGCCCTGTCATGTATAAAATGTTGAAAAACCTGCCACTCAAAACGCGAAAACCTTTACTCTCCCTTTACATTGCTATCTGGCTTTCTGGCACCATCCCTACTTTCTGGAAAGAGGCCATTGTTAGCCCTATATTGAAACAGGGCAAGGACCCTTCCTCAGTTTCAAGTTATAGGCCCATTGCACTAACCAGCTGCCTTTGTAAACTTTTTGAAAAAATGAATGATAAACCGCCGACTTCTATATTTTCTTGAAACACACAAACTGCTCGACCAATTCCAGTGTGGGTTTCGAGAGGGTAGATCCACCACAGACCATGTGGTGTGTATCGAGGCACAGATCCGAGACGCTTTCGTCCACAAACAATACTTCTTCTCTGTGTTTTTCGGTATCGAGAAGGCTTACGACACAACATGGCGTTTTGGCATCTTGGCATGCGTGGAAGAATGTTTAGAATATTTGAAAGTTTCTGGTCAAATCGGACATTCCGTGTGCGTGTGGGAAGTGTTCTCTCCCAAACATTTGTTCAAGAAATGGTAGTACCGCAAGGTGGTGTACTTAGTTGTACACTTTTTATTATCAAAATGAATTCCTTGCACCTGTCCATCCCCCACAATATGTTCTACTGTACATATGTTGATGACGTCCAGCTTGGCTTTAAGTCATGCAACCTGACAATGTGTGAGCAGCAGGTTCAGCTAGGTTTAAAGGAGGTCTCCAAATGGGCTGAAGAAAATGGATTCCGACTGAACCCACAAAAAAAGCACATGTGTCTTGTTCTCCCGAAATAGGCATGCACTCAGAACCTGACATTCAATTGAATGGTCAATGTCTGTCTGTTATTGCCGAGCATAAATTATTAGGCCTAATCTTGGACTACAAGCTAACCTTCATACCGCAAATCAAGTACTAAAAAACAAAATTTGTAAAAGCCATGAGTGTTCTGAAAGTGTTGTCACATACTACGTGGGGTAGCGACAGGCAATGTCTCATGAATTTGCATAGAAGCCTTATTCGCACAGGCTTAGATTATGGGGCCGTTGTTTATCAGTCTGCGACTCAAAGTGCTTTGAAGATGCTGGACCCCGTTCACTCTTTGGGCATCCGCCTTTCTACGGGTGCTTTTCGCACCAGCCCCGTAAAAAGCCTTTACGTTGAGTCAAATGAGTGGTCGCTTCATCTGCAGAGAACTTTCATGTCCTTTGTATATTTCCTTAAGGTGAAAACAGACAAGAAGCACCCCTCATACTCTACATTTAATGATTTGTTGAGCTCCATTCTGTTTCAAAACAGGCCTTCGATAAGGCAGCTCTTCTCAGTTTGCCTGAAGGGTCTAGCTGAGGAAACTGGAGTGTCACTTGAACACAGTTTAATGGCTCCTGTAGCATACCCGCCACCGTGGCAGTGGCAGACTATAGACTGCAATGTGTCTTTCCTAGAAGTTACAAAACATGTGCACATTGTCCATATCCGAACATACTTCCTGGAACTTCAACACAAATACAGACGTCCTGAGTTCTTTATAGATGCCTCTAACTCCTCTGTGTCCTATGCTGCTGTTGGCCCATCTTTTTCGGATGCTGGCCCTCTACATCCAGGCACAAGTATCTTCACAGCAGAAGCTTACGCGATACTTGTGGCCGTTAAACACATCAAACAATTACAACAACAAAAAGCAGTAATTTATACTTAATCCCTCAGTTTTGTAAAAGCTCTGCAAACTCTTAAAAAAAAACCCTGTCCTCATCTCACTTAGACTCTATTTTATGCACACTCTACACACTCAAACAACATGTTGTAGTGTGCTGGGTGCCAGGGCACCGTGAGATCCAAGGCAACGTGATGGTGGATCAGTTTGCTGCATCCGTCCACGAAAGCACTGCCACTACACCCATATCAATCCTGGCCCTTGATCTTAAGCCGTCTCTCAAACGAAAGCTCAGGAACTACTGGCAGAGCAAGTGGGATAGACACACACAAAACAAACTACACATTATTAAGCGACACCTTGGTCATTGGCCGCCAGTATCAAAATCACGTCTAACAGAGGTAACACTAATGAGGCTCAGGATAAGACAGACATACACGACACACTCTTTTGTCTGGTGGCGATCCACCATTGTGTGACAGATGTGGCGAAGCACTAACAGTTCTTCGCATTTTAATTCAGTGTGAACTTTTTAGACACTCTAAGAAGACAACACTTTCCATTACCCTACCGACAACATATACCATTACACCCTGCAATGTTCGTTTGTAGGGATTCACTGTTCACTCATAAATCGTTGCTAGCTTCTTTAAGAGATGTCCATTTCTACTATGTCATATACCCAGGCTTTGCGTAGCGCGACCTTTCAGGAGAGGCTGCTGCTGTGGCTACACCGAAAAAAACTTGCCTCGCGGCCCTTGGACACAAGGGCGCTGATGAGGCACTTGTGCTAGTGCCAAATATTTTTACACGTTTTTATTATCAAAACCTTTTGTCACCCATTTTTACTATACATATGCCGCTGTCATGATTAAATACTTATGTTTTTACCCGCGTTATCGTGAGGAATCTTAAGGCCCCTATACAGCCACACAACATATTATTGTCCACATTTCTAGTCATTGAAATGGCACTCTTGGCCATCAATTGGCCATTGTGCCATAAAGCACCACACATCATCATCATCATCATCATGAAAATACAGCGTTGAAAAGATCGCACTTGAACGGTGAACCAAGAACAGCGTGCTTGATACGAAGTTCCGGAAGATCAACGACAAAAACCCGCCAAGCCGAATGTAAGCAGCGCACTGGCAGCAAAGGTGAAAGCTCACGTCGTAAAGCCATAAAAGGGATTAAATGTACTGACGAGGTAGCGATTGCGATATCTGTAGCAAACTCGATAACAAGGACCCTTTACTAGACAGGAAACTGTTTAGCGCAGTTTATAAGGACGGTATTGCACATGCCATGCTGAACCACTTGGGGCTGGAGCCACGCTAGCAACGCTAGTACACAGCAGCATCGGCACCAGTGCAAAGGCTTATTCGTTGCCGATGCAACCGCTCTTTTTTTTCTGTTTTTTCCCTTTCCTCCACCCTTTGTTCTTTCGCACCACATCTCTTCCTCCTGTGTAACGACCTTGTTGCTCGCTCAGCAGTGGCGCACCCAGCATGCCTCTTTTCAAATGCACCCTCGCTACCACATTTGTCGTTTCCCGCTGCTGCATTATGATCGGTCTTTCAGCTTGAAGGACAGCACAATAAGCGGTATGCGTATACATGGGCCTCTATGGGAGGGTAAACGGGAGTCGCAAAAGACCGCATTTTAACCGTTTTTGCACTATAAGCGGTTACGTTATAAGTTGTCTACACTGTACAGTGCTTGTTTTTTAGTGGTCTTGTAGGAACTTACTGCAGTGCTGCATTAAAGAATTTCTGGGGAATGTAGGGTCATTTTTTCATGTTGTTTGGGAGTGCCTCACTTCAATACTGAACTGCATACTTCACAGCTACAGTTGATTCCCTTTATAAGAGACAGTGATCTAAGAGAGAAAGGGGTATAAGAGACGCTAGTGCTTTCAAGAGACACCTCATGTAAGGGACGAAAATTACTCCCTGGTGCATCTCTCTTATACAGTAGACTCCCTTTAAGCCGAACTCGAAGGGACCAGGATAATTTGTTCGTCTTATCAGGAGTTCGCCTCGTCAAAAGTGTTCCCAAGAACCAAATACCAAAACATGCCAAGTGCGCCCAAATATGTTGCTTGAATGAAGTATACTTATAATGGTCAGGAAAAGAACAAGGAAAAGCATTTATTTGGCTCAGCTTGATAAAAACTATGCTTTCAAGTAGAGTATGATAGCTCCATGCAACTCAACCCTCCGCTGCAAAAGGTTGCCGATTCCTGACATGAAGGAATCTGTTATGCAGCTGCAAGGAGCAAGCCTACCACAAAAGGAGCTTTTGGAGCAGGCAACCACAGTAGTCGCCCAAGAGAATGTGGAACTGGCCTGTTGTTTCATCCAAAAGACTGCCATCGAGAAAGCCATTCCTGAGATTGACAAGAAGCTTAGCCAGGCATGTACCTTTTAGACATGGTGCATGTGGGATATAGTTCCATGCAATATTCTTAATTATTCTTGGTCTCCTTAGGAATACGAGTTCCGCAAAAGTGCTCGCAGTGAAAACCGGCGCTACTGTGACCCTGTCGTCTTGACCTACCAAGCTGAGCGGATGCCTGAGCAGATTCGACTCAAGGTAAGGAGTTCTTTTGTGGTATATTGTAGTTATTTTATAGGAGCTGTGCTTCTAAATGTGGATTGTGGAGGTGCTTCAGATGGTATTTTGGTTTGTATTTTAGTTTGGCAAGGAGGGAGGTGGGTTTTAAAAATTTGTTTTATTTATTATCCGACTGTCATGAGAGTTACCATGCATGCGTACCATTGAAAGGAGATTTCAAACCTGCAAACAGATTTCAAATATCTCATTTTAAAAAGTAATCGCAAATTTTCACATTATAATTAGGCAATTTCTTATGGGTTGTTATGGTAACTTGCAATGGTAACTTGCAATTCAAAAAGTTATTTTCAAAATTGCATGTTTCTTCTAAAAGATTCATCACACAGGATAAAAGAAACTAGATTTCAAAACAGCTATTTCTTTGATCAGAAATAATTTTCAAACCTAAAAGGTAGAAATGAGCTTCCAGTATTTAGCTGGTATTTATAATATAATTGTAATTCTATCAAGGTTAAGAAAAAAAAGGAAAGCTTTAGCCTGTAGTTCAAGTGCTGCGGAAAAGAATTGTACAAAGTTTGTTTAGATATTTTCAAAAAAGCTTGCTCAGAACTTCCATAAGTCAAATTCATTTCACAAAAATAACAATGCCAAGAAAATTATGTTTCCAGTTAAAAACATTTGTAGTTTTATATATTAATCTTTTAACAAAAATAAATAGTATTTTCCTGTTATATGCAAATTTTCCAAAATATACTTTTGACTATGAATACCTCAAATTGCAGTTTTTGAAAGTCAGCATTTTTTATCATTTTTTGCTATTTTAAGACCGTCGTTCCCCCTTAAAACGTGAGCTTTTCTGGCACAAATTATGATGCACTGTCTACGAATGTGTTAAATTCGCAAAGCATAATTTCAAGGCACTCCATATTACCATCCAAGAAAAAATATGAACGAATGTGTCATTTTGTTTCAATTTTAATAACTAGTCATAATTAAGGCACAATTAAATATTTAATTGTTCTGCAGTCAGTCATGTTTCATTAAAACAGAAGAATGCATCGCATGCTTGAAATGAAAGGTGACATTAGTCTTTTGTTGTGTTCATGTCAAGAAATGAAAAGTAATACTTTTGATGTTGGTCGTGGAACCAGGCACGTCGAATGGCCTGGCAAACAGCGTAGTGCCTTCGCAAAAGTTATTGGTTACAGCCGGGGTTGGCAACCTGCTACTTGTGGGGCTGTGTAATGCGGCCCCTGTTACGACATCAGAACCCCCTCCCCTATCCTTTGTCATGTCCTATATGAATGCTGACATGGCAGTTTTGACCTCAAGTGGGGTTCTCACGTGTAACCAGTGTTTGTAAGTACCGTAACAACCGGAATATAGGTCAACCTCCCCCCTCTCAACAATGAATCTTCAAAAAATAAAAATTTAAAAATCACGATGTACCGTGGTGCACCCTTACCTTGATAAATACAAGGCACAACCAGCTGCATTGTGGTGATGTGTCTTTTTATTGCGACACTAATCTTATGTAGTTAAACGCCAGAAGGCCACAAAGTGCTGTCACTCAGACGGGTGTGAACTTGAGTCGGATGACGTCTGTTTCTCACTAGTTACGTCCCAGAGTGCATCATCCTCCATTCCATTCAATGCTTTGCTAATGCAGCATTTGCCGAAAGACTTGCACACCATCTCTTACGAGAGAGATTTCCATACTGCCGACACTCAGCCACAAATGGTTTGCGAGCAGTGGACGTCGTAGGTGGCCAGCGTCTGAGCACGCGCATGCGATCTATGAAGGGTTTATTGAGCCCTACATCCAGTGGCTGAAGGGTTGATGTTAGTCCCCCAAGGATCACGACAAGGTCCGTCTTGCCGTTAGACAGAGCCCCCTTTACATTGGTCATGAGGTGGCCTCTAAGTGAGTCCAGCACCAACATGCTCAGTTGCTGAAAAAGTGCACCGGGTCGCCGGTTCCACGTGATCTGGATCCACTCAAGCATGTGGGATTCATGAACCCTTTTCGTTCTGTCTCACGATAACATCCTGGGGAAAGTCTTCTTTTGGTAGCCTTTTCCTTTGAAAATGATATAAGGGGGCAACCTCTTTCCATCGGTTGTGCACGCGAGCATTGCTTTAATTCGTGAATGCTTCTTGCCTGTTGTCAAGAGCTTCACTTGCTTGGATCCTTTAGCGGTCACAGTCTAATTCGAGGGCATATCAAACCAGATCGTAGTTTTGTCAGCGTACCCCATGTGTCTCATCATGTAGCAATGCAGTTGACGAAGCCTTATGACGAAGCGCTGATGCTCAACCAGCTTGTTATTGAACTCTTTGGGCGCGGGCAGTTATGAAGCAGAAGGGCAGCAAAAAGCCCTTCTGCTTCATAAATCGGCGCACCCACGATGGCGAGCCCCTCAATTGTGCCCTCGTGAGCCCAGAGTTGTGCGCTATCTCGATAGCTTTCACGTGGATGCACTCAACTTTCACGGGTAGCGACCTTGCACGCAGCTCCCGGAAGAATTCGGCGAGTAGCGTTTCTGATTCATTGTGCACTGCAGTCCATCCACGATGATATATTATGGTTGTTTTTTTGTTGCTGCAAGATGTGATGCGCTGCTTGTGGCTCCTCAAGTATTGGACGCCTTTATCCAATGCACTGAATTCTTGTTGTGCCGCCAGGCTGTTGTGCGCTTGGGAATACTCGATAAGTTCTTTTTCTTAAAGCCAATCGTAAACTGCCGTCGACTACCACTTATTTCATAAGGAAATAGAAGAAAGAAAATAGCAGACTGACAAAGATAACCGAAAGGAAATGGCATAGCTAGTACACTGTAGGCCTTGTGTAGCCTTGCTCAACAGTGCCACTGCTGATGCTCTCGATGGCAATGGAGGCTTTTTACTTCATCTGCCTTTTTTTGCGAGACTTGCACATTTCATTCTGCCAATGAATAATATATGACGAGGGTCGACTTTTCATCGCATTTTTTTTTTAAGACTTATATTACAGTTTTTACGGTAAATCGAAAGCTTCCCGGAATGGAAACTGGCAACATTTATTGTACCAGTTCAGTCACATCTCATGCAAGACCAGCAGTATTTTGTGCAGCACACTATCTTTGCGCTCTGTGGTATGGTGAGAATCCTTCAATACTTTTACTGGTCATTAAGCGGCAAAAGTTTAATATAGGGACAGGAGCAACCGCTAGTGGCGCCCTCGTCTGCTTGGGGGTAGGGTGCCTCAATGCGCGCACCCATGTTTAGGGTGCTGCCATCTTTTGTACTGTTTTCTTCGTCATTGTAGTGCCTGCAGCATCTTCGCCCAGCTGTAGGGCTCACGTGCCACTTTTCTCGGCCAAGTATGCTTGGATGTTAAGCTAGTAAGCCACTTTCCACCACAGCAAAACCAGTATACAGCCGGAGCAATAAGGGGGGCTGCCGTAGCAGACGATGCAGATGTCTTCACTCTGAGCGGAGGAGCGAGCATTGAGGCACTCTACTTGGGAGAATCGGAGCAGCCCTGGTGCTGCAATGGTACGGCATGTGTCGGAACAGCAAAATGGGAATAAATGTCCCCATGAAGATTGATCACATGTTCAAAGTGATGTTACTTTCAAAGAAATTAGGGGAGGCTCTAATGCAATGAAATTTAGAGTCAAATGGAGCCTTGAAGCGAGAAATTCGATGGCAACAAAAGCTTGCTCAGTGATCCCACTTCTGTGCTGAAGTGCATCGTAGCAGATTTGCTGTGCCATTCTGATAATACCTACAGAAATTGCGCCAAACTGCGTCAGTCACATTTGGGAGCATATATCACTGGCAATAGCCATGCCGGCGTGTCAAAACATGTGCATCTTGTACTTGGGGTCACCAATGTCACAACCACGTACTTAGAATTATTCTGCTGAACAAACAGCGGCTGCGCATTCGTCCTAATCCACGATGCTATGCTTGGTGTCGACACAACTTCTGTTGTGCAAGTCTGCTTAATGGCAAAACGCTGTCTTCACAAGGGCTTGTGACGTCTAGTCCAATTGGTAGCGTGAAACTGTGGTGGAAATTCATCGGCGGACATCGTTCATTCCAAGAGCGCTGCTGATAGCTCATTTGAAGAGTTGCATGGCACGTAATTGAAGCAGTTTTCACTAATGACTACTCGCGTGCTGTCAGAATGTCTGTCATGTCTACTTTTGCAAATCGCAATCTAATTTTTCGTGCTTTGCGACCACAGAACACATGAACGTTGCAAACATGGTGACACTTTTCTGTTAATATAATTTATTCATAAATCCTCATTCAGAAGAGCTTTATCTTAATTCCTACCACCAGCACATCCGCATTTGTAATTGCTGTTGTGCTAAAAGACCTAGGGACTTTCAAACTCAAGACTGCTAGTGCCCTAATTCAAAATTTTCACATGCTTTTTTTTTCAAATGTCATATCAATAATAAGAGCATGTAGCCTTGTCGGAACAGCCGCAATTCGGTTTTGATATGCGCAGCTTTTAGCAGTGGGGCCATTGCTGGCGGCTCTGTCAGAAGGCCCACTGTGAAGCAGCTATGCCATGTAATACGTCCGCCCCTCACTTTCCAGGGTCAGTAGGCAATGGTTAAAAAAAAAATTGAACATCACGGCATCGCATTCATTGCTTCCGTTTGAGGGGGGGGGGGGGGGGCTGCTACGGTTGAAGGGTGCAGCCACTAGCACCCGCTATACACACCGATTGGGACCTTTAGGGAGCGCTTTGAAGGACGCGTGCAGAGCCACTTGTGGTGTGGCGGGCGCGCAACATTGAGAATCGTATAGCAGACGGCAGCTTCTCTTTGCTTGGACAGCTATGGTGGCAAAAGTGTTCCTGGCTGGCGCTATGGTTGTTCGAGCAGAATTTGAAGTATTGTGGGGAGACATTCTTCTGCAATGCCCCTATGAATAAATGGGAAAACCTGCAGGAAAGCGGCCACATTTTTCACTTTAGTGAGCGCCTTGCTGCCCGTCGTCAGTACTTACGGAAAATG